CAACAAAGCTAACAAAGCTTCTCATGTGTTCCTTGGACAAGATGGACAGATGTGGACTGGGTGATCATACAATTAAATAAATTTGGAACTGCTAGCATAATTGGATGCAGGTTGATATCAACTTGTAGAGAAGTCAGTCATAGAGTACCCAGAGATCTATGGTTGGCTCTGTGTGTGTGTGTGTGTGTGTGTATGTATTTCACATTTTTTCAGTAACTGAGACGAAAGCATGATTGGCATACTTAACTATATTGCAGATGACACAAAGCTGGGAGACATGATTAACTCAAAAATATGTTGCAGACTAGGATATTGGGTCAGATCTAAAAAGATGATCTTTAATAGAAATAAATAGAAAGTCCAGAAAGAATTTCTTCATTCCAAAAAATCGACCTCACAAGGATAAGATGCAGGTGGTGCTCATTTTTAAAAGATTTAGGAGGGGCAGCTAAATGGTGCAGTGGATAGAACACCGGCCCTGAAGTCAGGAGGACCTGAGTTCAAATCCATCCTCAGACCAAACACTTGACACTTACTAGCTGTGTGACCCTGGGCAAGTCACTTAACCCCAATTGCCTTAAAAAAAAAAAAGATTTAGGAGTTTTAGTGAACTACCAGCTTATTACAAGGTATAAAGTGGGAAAAGTTTCCTTTCTTTGTATTTCCAACTAGATGACACAGTGGACAGAGCACTAGGCTTAGTGTCAGTAAGGCCTGAGTTCAAACTTGACCTCAGAAATTTACTAGTTGTTTGACTGACTCTGGGCAAATTACTTAACCTCTGTCTGCCTCAGTTTATCAACTATAAAGTATTGCTATAATAATAGCATCTACTCTATAGGGTTCTTATGAGGATTGAATTAGATAATATATGTAAAGCATTTAGCTCAGGGCCTAGAACAGTAAGTCCTTCATAAATGCTTTGTTGACTGACAGACAAGCCAATGTGATCTTAGGCTTCATTGAGAGAGAGAGATGATGTTCATAATAGGGGAGGTGATAATTTTCTGGACTGCTCAGATAAATACTGCTTTGTGATGTAGTTTGAAATCTGGTAACACTATATCCCTTTCATTAGCACTTTTCCTCATTCCTCTGAGATTTCCAGAATTTTTTTCTTCTAAATGAATATTATTATTGTATTTACTTGGTAATCTGATTAGAATAGCATTAAATCTATAAATTTATTTAGGTAGTATTTTCATTTTTGATATATTGGCATGCTCTAGTCATAAGCAGTAAATACCTCTCTAATAACTAAATCTCTTTTTTCTGCCGAGTGTTTTGTAGTTGTATTTATACAAATCTCTCATGTGCCTTGGTCAGTTAAATTTCAGATATTTTATGCTCTTTGTTATTATTTTGAATGGAATTTCTCTTAAAATGTCTTTCTGATTTTTGACAGCACTGTCAAGAAATGTGGTGATTTTGTGGGTTTATTTTGTATACTGTACCCTTGCTGACATCATTAATCCTTTCACTTAGTTTCTCTGCTCTTTTATGAGGTTGTCCAAGTACATAACCATGTCATCTGAAAACAGGGATGTTTTTATATTTTCTTTACCAACGTTTATACCTTTGCTTTTGTTCTTTTGTCTTATGACTGTTGTTAGCATTAGGTCAAAAATAGTGAGGAAAGAGAGCATCCCTGCTTTACCCCTGATTATACTGGGAAAGTACCTAATAGTTCTCCATTATAAAACTGTTAGCTCTTATTTTAAATATATGCTTTTGATTATGTTAAAAAAGGATCCTTCTGTGCCTACACCTTTTAATGTGTTGTTTTTTTTTTTTAATGTAAATGAATGCTAGATTCTGCCAGAGGTCTTTTCTCTGTATCTATTGAAATAATCATGTGGGTTTTATTCTCATTATGCTTACATGATTAATTGTAGTGTTTTCCTAATGCTGACCCATGCTTACATCCCTGATATAAATTCAACTTAATCATAATGAATTATTTTCTGGGTTTACATAGTCTCCTCGCTAGGATTTTATTTAAAAAATTTTACACCAATATTCATTAGTGAGAGTGGTCTATACTTCCCTTTTTCTTTTTCCTTTTTTCCCTATTTGGGTATCAGTACCTTATTTATCTCATAAAAGGAGTTTAGTTGAGTGTTTTCCCTCACTATTTTTGACATTTTTTTTTAGTTTAGATACTAATTGTTCTTTAAATACTTGATTATATTTTATCTAATGTGGGGTTTTTCCCCACTTTGGCAATGTATTTGTGGCTTGCTCAGTTGTTTGTTTGCCTGAGATTGAGTTAAGTTTTTAAGTTCCTATTTTGTTGGTTTGCCTATTTGCAGTTTTTTTTAAAAGAAGTTCATTAATTCCCTTTTAAGTCTCAGTTTTGCTGATATGTAATTTTGTATAATTCTTTTTATTTCCTCTTTGTTGTGAATGAATGAGCTTGTAATTTGGGTAATTTAATCTTCCTTTGAACAATATTTTAAACTCAGCAGACAGAAATTGATATGACTCTTCAATCAATCAGTGAGCATTTATTAAACACCTAAAGTATGCAGTCTCTGTGATAAACTCTGGGTATACAAACACAATGAATGATGTAATCCCTCTTCTTAAGGAGCTTAAGCTCTAACAGCAAAGACAAGAAGTACATACATAAATCCACACAGAACAAATCCAGTAGGTTCACAGGAAAGATTCAGAAACCTGGAAAAAATAGACACATTAGTATGCCAGAGAAACAGTTCTTGGTCATAAAGAGATGGTAACATGGTCAAAGTTTCCATATCATATTATCCTAGCAAAAGGATTCTATAGGATTTTCACTGAGGTCTTAGGCCCTTGGGGTTATAACCAGCTGAGCACAGTGAGAGGTTGTGGTTTATAGCTCCACAGGAAAATTCCATTACATACAAATAAACATATGCTGCACACTCCAAAGGCTGTTTGGTAAAACTCAAATAATGCTCTATGTTCATGGGAAACTACATGGGTCAATGCAGAGAGAATGCCCAAACCCAGAAAGATCTAAAGGAATATGTTTAATTGATCCAAATGATTCTGAGATTGCCATTACGAGAAATTAAAAATAGGAAACCCTAAGTTGATCTTAGACACAAAACCAAAAAATCTGTAGGCATATTCGTGGAAAGCTAATAATGTTCATGATTAAAAGTGACATATTTAAGAGAAGGAAATAATAAGTAAACAGAGGACTCATCCCTGGCTCATTTCCAGTGTCCTTTGACTCTGCCCTCCTACCAAAATGTCTTTGAAATGCTTGTTCTAGAAAGTATTGACTGAGTAAATTCTTTGTGTTCACAATCTAAGCCACATTTGGAGGGGCGGGGGGCCGGCACGGAGGATTAATCATTCTCCCTGATTTATGTTCTGTCTCCCACTAAAAACAAGGCTTATGTATGACCATTCATAATTCCAGAGGACTGATGCTGAAACGTACTAGAGAGGTAATGGACTGACAGATTTAGGGTACATAATTTTATACATATACATATGTACACACACATACATATATGTGTGTATGCCTGTGTATATACATGTATATATATACACACATAATTTTATGTATAATTTATTAAATTTATATACAAAAATATAAATTTTCCACATCAGTCATTGAGAGAATTTATTTTGCTTGTCCATGTATTTTTGTTTTAAGAAATTTGCTTTTTTTTCTTCTATTAAAAAATGAAGTACAGGGTAGGGGAGAGAGAAAATGGATTTCTGCTGAAGACGTGAAACATTGCATGAACTTTCAAATAAGATCTCTGTATTATTAGTTTTACTTAATTGTTTTATTTTGTTATAAGAGGCCTTGCACAAAGCAGGAATAACCTGTAAACACAATCTTCAATATTTATGTGTTTACTTTTCATGACTTCAAGCATTTGCATGATTTTATTAGTAATTTCATTTTTGTCTTGGCAGCTGCGCATATTCGCAATTATGAGCAGTAGAGAAAAAAATGAGAGGGGCAATGCTTGCAGGTTTGTGGAGTAACTGGTATCCTACTGGGTGCTTCACTTGTCTTGCTTACCCTCCTCTTGTAGAGCAAAGAGCTCCCTATGCATTCAAAGTGTCGTCAGAGGTGATATCCAGGTCTTGCCAGTCTTGACATCTTCTGATAGCAGTGTCCCTTGCTTTTCAGAGGACAGCCAAGGTAGAGAGGTTCAGCAGTATAGTATTATCTGAAGTCAATGTTTTTGTTTTTGTTTTGAAATGTTAGCACAGCAGGTCACAGAATTCTAGGGAATTACTAATAAGAAAAAAATGTTTTGCATGTTACCAATTTTATTTTTTGTACTGCATTTTAAGGGTTGCTTTATGGTTACTTTGTTAGGAAGAGTCATATTCTCAGAATTGGTGTTTTGTTATAAAGAATTGTATGTATTTTCAGCAATCTTTAGTGAAAGATTACAATTTTTGATGTTCATGGGAACTTAACCCCCTATTTCTCATAGGCTCAATGTATCAACATTCATGTTTTTTATTTTTGTGCCATTTTTAGGGAACAATAGCCCCGAGAAAGTTGAGGATTGACTTCATAATGCAAAAACAAAACACATCAATAAAACTGAAAGTGTAAACAATGCTCATGTGTCCTATTTATTTTTCACACTTATTGATTATAGTCAAATGGACTCCAATTGTTCTACTTAACTGCCCTTCTTCCAGAATAATAAACCTCTAGTCATTCTTTGGAATAGGAAATTCTGCTTATTTGAATTATTCTGTTTTGCTTTTTGCCATGCTGGACCATCATTTCTTGTTACAAGCTACTCAGTAGTTCTGAGGCTACAGAAGGCAAGTGCTCCTGAAATATATCCTAACAGCCTACCATGCTTCACAGGTGGGTGGCAACAGCATGGGTGCAGAGTGAGAGGCAGCACCCAGTACTCTTGGACACCGGACATCTCCAAGGTGTGGCTGAGAAACCAGTTTCATTGGTTGAATGTCTAGGTTAAGTCCATTAATTTAAATTTTAGCCCATTCCTTTTATTTTGCAGGTGATTATGTATATAGGCCAGGTCTCCAAAGATATTCTGAAGTGGCCCCGGCCCTCCTCCCCTCCTGTCGTGAAACTAGAAGAGAGGTTAGCTCATGAATTTGGGATGCCATCTACTCATGCCATGGCAGCAACAGCTATCTCTTTCACATTCCTCATCTCTACAATGAACCGATACAAGGTAGGAAGCAGCCCTACTGATGGTCCTTGTGATACTGAGGATAAAATTGCAAGAATCATAGAGTAAATTTAGAACCGAAAAAGACTTTGGAGAATACCTGCTAAGCTTCACAAAAGAAGAAACTGAAGTACAGAGGACTTGCCCTTCACTTTGGGAGAACAGATTTTCATTTCAGAATTTTCCCTTAAAAATGGCTTGAGGCAGCTAGGTGGCAAAGTAGATAGAGCATTGGCCCTGAAGTCAAGAGAACCTGAGTTCAAATCCAGACTCAGACATATACTAGCTATGTCACCCCGGGCAAGTCACTTAACTCCAGTTGCCTCCTCCCCCCCCCAAAAAAATGGCTTGAGTGAATTTGAGATTCATGAAACAGTGACTAAGGGGGATTGAACACCCACTAAAGCACTCAATAAAACTTTATCTTTAAGTATTATTGTTCTCAATCTCCTAGCCAGGTCCACATTTTAGATTCTAGTTCTCTTGGTATTTTTTTTAGAACCACCAGATTTAGGAAGTTTTGTAATCTGAACAAATGGTCCCCAAGGTTTGAACTGAAACCACCGAATTTATTTGGTCATGTCTCTAGCCAGAAGCAGTTAAGCAGCCATCACCCTGAACCAAGGGTTCTCAGGACCCTCCTGCTCTTGGTGAGGGATTGTCCATTCTAGTTGATGGCTTCAAAGCATTGCTGAGGAAGGAACTAAATGGGATTAAGTTTACAACATATTTGCTAAGAGATTAATAAATATGATAGGAAATGTGTTAATTTTTTATGATTATGCAATAGCTTGAATGTTAATTATGCTAAAGCATCCTTTAACAACTTTACAAGATTGCCTCACTTTGATTTTTTTCATTCCTTTTTATTGATATATTTTGTTTTTTACGTAATCTTCATTTCCAAATACACACTCTCTCCTCCCTTACCCATAAACTATTCCTCGTAACAAAGAATAAAAAAAAAGAAAAGTGTGTGTGTGTGTGTGGGGGGAAATGTAGCTCTGAAAAACAAGTCAATATATCATCTGAGTCTATAGATGCAGTATTCCACACCCATAATCTCCCCACTCTTCCCCTCCCCCCATTAAAGGGAGGGAAGTGCCTTTTCTCAGCACTTCTTTGGCTGGGGCGGGGGAGGGGAATCTCTTTAACAGTTATATGACAAAGATAAAACAGCCATTTTCATCCCCCTCCTTTTAGAGAACCATTCCTCTGAACTGTGTAGACTGTCTAGAGATGACATTTTACTCTGCAAATTTTAGACCTCAGTTAAATCTGAATGAGATCCCATTTTAAGAGGATTTTACCCCACCCCCCAAATCTGGGGACACATTTTAGTGCTATTTAACAATTTACTATGCTACTTAAATCGGAGTGGTGGTTTTTTTTTTATTAGAAAACAATAAAACGACCCCCAGGCATATAGGTACATAAATGTTGGAGGTGCCAATGTCTGCAGCTGCTCTCAAACTTCTGACATGAACATTATCTGAGAGAGTTGAGGACAAGAGCTACTCATGGATGAGGCACCAGCATCCTCAGGCTGCTGCTACAAACCAGCCTCCATACTGCTCAGAGTGAGTTTTTGTGAGATTCAAGCAACAAAAAGGAGACTGTTCTCAGGGCACAGAGGATGAGTGGGTCTAACTTAAGACTACACTGATCCTTTTTTTTTTTTTTCAATCAATTTTAGTTCACATGTAGCAAGGGCATTCTGATTCTTTTTTTCTTATATGCACTTTTTTTTATGATAAATAAAATTAGCCATTTAGTTCTTCTAGCTTTTCTCCTAATAAACAGATCTAAACATATGCAGATGACATATCCAATGTCAGCATTAAATGGCTAATTTTAACATTAATGTGGCTAGACATCCAAAGCTCAATTTTAGGAAGACACCTAGCTCCTCTGGAACATTGTCAGCCCTGAGTGAGTGCAATAAAGGCCAGGCAATTATTAGCTCTTTGAGCATGTGGATGATATCTTTTCAGGTACAGTTAATGATCAGACCCTCCTTTTGTTCCTTACATGGACCCATACCTCACTAGTTGGCTAATGTTGAAATTGAATTAAATCTAGGGCAGCTAGGTGGCACAGTGGATAGAGTACCAGACCTGGAGTTAGAAGGACCTGAGTTCACATCTGACCTCAGACACTTACTAGCTGTGTGACCCTGGGCAAGTCACTTAACCCCAACTGCCTCCAAAAAAAAAAAAAACTGAATTGAGTCTGGACTCTCGCCATCCAAGTTGTACACATGTATGTAGTTTCCTGGGTAAGGCCTACTCTTCCTGGATCATCATTATCATCGTGCTTTAAGGTTTGCAAAACACTTTATATTCATTGGTTTGGGGTCTTCTGAGGTAGATGCTATTATTATCCACACTTTACAGATGAGTAATCTGAGGCTGAGACATGTCCAGGTTCACCCAGTTAGCGCATTATTCCAAATCAGAATCCCCAGTCTTCCCATCTCCAATTCCTCACTCCAGTCATTGCATTTCACTGCCATTCCTATCACATTTGGGTGCCACCAAAATATCAGCGAATATTACCAAATATCACCAAAATAACTGCTACTCAGAACTTCTTGGTGGCAGTACTGTCGAATCCCTCATGCCTAACTTCCTGCGAGCCAAGACAATAGGATTGCTCAAAGAAAAAGCAGCCATGGAAATTCCATTTACTTCATCTTGGCAGCTTCAGACTTGAGTCTGTTTTCTACTCTGTACCATTTGCCATTTACCTTACCTTTCCATTTACCATGTACCTGTAGAAGTACAGTGCCATAACTTCACATTTAGACATCCTATCCCTTTACTTTCTTCAGTTTTCTAGTTCTTATCTCTGGGTCTGGATGGAGAGGTTGTTAGTGTGGATAGCGCTAGATGGGGGCCAGGAAGCATAACTCACTGGGATGTATTTGTGTATATAATGTTGAAATATTAATGTGAAATGCCATGCAGAATCTCTTATTTCTTCTCTCTCTCGTTCCACAGTACTCCTTTGCACTGGGACTAATGCTGGCCGTCTTATTTTCTACCATGGTATCCCTTAGCCGGATTTATACTGGCATGCACACAGTACTGGTAAGGATTTGTTCTCGAGACTGGATCTGAATACTGAAATGCTAGATTAGCAGGATGAATTCATCATTGCTATTCAAGCTATTTGTATTTGTAAAATTCTTTTCCAATGTAATTCTTCATCCCATCAGCCCTGTGCTGGGTCATTTTGGAGGACATACATATCCATGATAACTAATTCCTTAGATGATGTTAATCATGTACTATATTATCATCATCTCCATTGGTACTTGAAAAGGAATTTTATTGATTTCCTTTTCTTTTCTTGGCCTCTCCATCACTCTCTACTTGTTAACTTACTCCCGGCCATTACTCCTCCATTTTGAGCGCAATTAGGGTTAGGGTTAGGGTTACGCACATACACGTGCGCGCGCGCACGCACACACACACACACACACACACAGACCGACCTCCTTATAATAAATGAGTACAACCAAGCAAACCAAATCACCACCCAGGCCATGTCTGAAAAATATGTGGAAAAAACAAAAATAATGATACAAACATGGTAATTTTGTTATTGCTCTTTTAAATGTAAATACATTTTTAAAAAGCTAATGGTTCACAGTTTTATATACAACCTTCTTTTTATCTTGAAATGTTTATATTTCTCCACGATTTAAGTTCATAATAACAAAGAAAATTACAGAAAAAAGTTACTTTAAAAAGTTCGTCGCAGCTAAATGTGTTCTTCCCAACTTTGTGAAAAGTGAAAATTGCTTTTGTCAGGTGTCATAAAAGGTGGAGAGAACTCTTTTTCTAATTAATTTTTCTAATTAAAGCCTTTTGTTGATGCCCAGAGTGGGTGGTAGGTAGTTAATTCATATTTGTTGAATTTAATTGCTGACTAGTGCTGGTTATTGTTGTTATTGTTGTTGTTTAGGGGTGGGGGAGGTGGGGAAGGTGGGAGGAGATGGGAAAAGAGACTTTTTATCCAACAGAAGCTGCAGTACTTGAGTGGATTCTGGAAGAAAGGGGTCTGTCCAAAACTCTTAAAGCAGGAACCAAGCAGTGATGGGCATAAAACAGAAAATGACTTGAGTAATATGGGGTGCCTCAGATGAGACAGGTCAAGGATCTTGGTGAATTCAAAATACCAGGAAGAGGTTTTAGAGTCTTTCTTTGTGTGGCTGCTGAACTTAACTTTGAGGGAATCAATAAGGGATGTTGAAACAACTGGAGTCATTTCTGGGGTAAGGGTAGCTCCAGTCATGGGAATGTTGTCTGATCAACACTAGGTCCTAGCATTCTAGATACTGCACAATCCTCTCCTTCCCTCCCAGTCCCATCTCACTTTGAGCTAAACAGGAAGAGGCAGAATCCAGGGGGAAATTGGCGGGGAGCAAATTCTCAATTTGTTACACTGCTGTGTTGGAGCGTAAAGAGGCTGCTCCGAAATGTGTTTCTAGGCTTAAGTATGGAATTAAATGGAATTCTCTTGGGTTTGTTGGCATTTTTTTTTTTTTTTGCATTTTTCCAGGGTGGGGGGAGCTATTTTGAATATCATTGGGTTTAAATTAAAAAACCATCTTATGAATTCAGGTTAAAATTCAACATTAAAGTATATATGAGAGGCTACAAGCCTGAATGAAAGTACATATAAAAAACCAATTCAATAGATTTGCAACAAAATATTTTCCATAATGGGATGGTTTCCTGGAGGGTAGAAATATCGAACTCCTCCCTTGACCTTAATATACCTACTCTGAGGGACAATAGTCTCGAGGAAAGTCTTAGAAGAAGGAGTGAGGGTGAGGGTCTGATTTTCCTGCATTATTTTTCAACCTTGTCCCCATCAATTCCAGGCATAGGCTCAGCTGATACCCAATGATAAGGGCCCAGACTATTGTGATAATGAGTGAACCATATCTTAGAGCAGCAGAAGGGAAAGAGAATTGATTGGAGCAGTGATTGAAAGATTTAAGTCTGGGACTTGTTAACAGGACAGAGTCAAATGTTAGCTCATTACATTTCTATAGGTGGTATGGTCCAAAGAGAACTGAACTTGAAGTCTTGGGACCTGGGCTTGAATTTCAGGTCTGCCATTTTTTACCTGTGTGACCTTGGGCAATTAACCTTCCAATTTCCTGATCTATAAAATTCAGGAGTTGGATTAGAGGGCCTCTGAGTTCCCTTCTAGCTGTACACCTGTAATGCTCTGAATAATTTAAAAAAAAATGAGGAATTAATTATAGTTCTCCATAGACTTCTCTCCCTTTCCCTTCCGCAAAGGGAGGTTTTACTAGAACACCTGACAGTGACTAGGCAAATATAAGGCTATCACCACATCCCATGGTATGTTCTTTGTGAGTACAATAGTAGAAAGAACCCTAGATTTGGAGTCAGAAAATAATAATAGCTAGCATTTATATAGCACTTTAAGGTTGGCAAAGCACTTTATATGTTAACTCACGCTAACTCCTTACAACAACCCTGCAAGGTAGGTGCTTTTATTATCATCCTCATTTTACGGATGAGGAAACTGAGGCAGAGAGGTTAAGTTATTTGTTTATGGTCACACACCTATTAAATGTCTGAGGCAGGATTTGAACTCAGGTCCTCCTGACTCCAGGGCTGGTGCTCTATCTACCAAGCCCCCTAGCTGCCCCCTATATCTTGCTCGTGTATAGTTATTTGCGTGTTGTCTCCACCATTAAACTGAGTTTCTTGAGAGTCAGACTGGTTTGGGCCCTTTTTGGTATCCCCAGAATTTGGCAAAGTGCCTGTCACTTAAGAAATGCTTGTTGACTTGCTGTGATCTGCCAGGGATCACTTATCTAGTGCCTGAGACAAGATTTCAACTCAGGTCTTCCTGATTCCAAGTCCAGCACTCTCTCTGTGTCACCTCCTTGACCATCTTATGTAAAACTGCCTTAAATGCATTCATGGCATTTATCTAACCAACAGCCACATTTTGCAGGCCTTCAAACAGAGGCTGAACCCACTTGTAAGGTATGTTAGAGTGAGGATTTATTTCAGGTATCAGTTCAACAGGATGACTGTTGAGGTCTCCTCCAATTCTAAAAATTTGGTGAAGCTAAAAGGGAGCCAGGGATATTATTTTTCTACTGGATCTTATTAGTGAATAATTGACTGGTAACAGGGAGTCATTATCAATTTATTTTCGACTTGAATTGGCTGAAACCCAGCCATATTTTACTGAATGCCTTCCTTATTCTCTGTAGGTAATTAGAGTTATTGGGCTAGATTATTTGCTGTAAGTTATGTGTGTATGTATATACATGTGTGCCTACAATATACACATGCACAAAATATACGAGCATGTGTCTGTATTAAATTGTGTGTATGCATACACATACATGCATGCATGTGTGTACACATGTACATGTGGATATGTATATATCTGCATACATGCACATGTACATGTGTGTGTGTGTGTGTGTGTGTGTGTATTTGTTTGTCTTGGTTGGAATCAAAGAAAACAAAAAGTTTTCCAAGTACTCAACTACCTATACATTACACAAAGCTTCATTCTAGGTCAAAGTGTAGCATTTTGATGTGTGTGTGTATTTTTTCCCCAATAAGCCTAAACCTACTCAGCCTAAGTTACCAGTCACTACTGACACGTTGAGGGCATGGGGAATGGGCAGGAGAGGGAACAGCGGGCTGTGTACATGCTACCCTATACTTAATTTCCATTTAACTTTTGAACTACTACTCTTTTGAGGGCTGCCAAGATTTTTTAAAATTGTGGTTCCCACCATAAATTATCATCATATTATATGGACTATTTTTCTTTGACCCTGGAGGGAAATGTATTTTTCTTTCTGTTTTTTTCTAAGTTATTGATTTAGCAATTAGTGCTTCCCACACATTCCAGTGACTATTTCTTAGGGAGCATGTTGCTGAAAAAAAAAAAAAAAAAAAGACGGGTCCCATAATTGTTATATCCCTTCCCAACATAAGAAATTGGGAACAACAACTTCCTAAGAGAGAAGTGATGGAACACAGAAGCCTGTTCCTCTGGCTCAACTAGGATTATAGGCTACTTTAAGAGGCTAAGACCTGGGTGTAGTCCAGAGCAGGAGGTGGCAGAGATGGTACAAGGCTGAGCCATGAGTTGATTGTGATTGCAGGCTGCCTGCCGTCCACAACTTGAAGAAACCACTTTGCAAGTCAATAGCAAAGCATAGAGTCAAGCTGAGACATCAGGCTAGAACTGAGACCCAGGGTCTAACCATACAGGAGCCAGAGATCACAAAGAAGTTGAGATCCCAGTCCCGTAAGTAGCCGGGAGACCAGAAACGCACCAGGTATCCAGGACAGAAATTAATCAAAGTTGACCCCAATCAGGGAGCTTCTCATGCTCTTCCAGCTATAGCCGGAATGAGGGAGTTTCCACGGCGTGCCCAACCCAGCCCTGAGATTAGAGAGCTCAAAGGTTGCTTCATTGTAGCAACTTGATACACCTGGCAGATTCTTACTTTTGACCAAGTGTTTATATTGATTCTTCCAAGCATGCTTTAAATGATTTGCTTTTTAAATTTTTTCGGTACTATCTTTTCAGCTTTTCCTTTGTTCAGCATGCCTGCTTATCGGGAGTATTGAATGAATACCTGATGAGTAAATAAATAAACAAAAACAAAGGTAAATAAAGATGACAAAATGCAATGCATTAATAAGTTAACAATAAATAATTGATCAACCCATGATTACCATGTATTATTCATTATTGGTATTCATATTCATCAATTTATTATTCTTATTCTTTTGCTCAGTCATACCAAAAACACACAAATCCAAAAAGCAAAAGCATTTAATTAAGATAAGAAAGAGCATAGATAAGAAGGAAGAGAATCCTGCACTAAAATAGCCTTTGTTCCCATACAAAGGAATGCAGTCTCCTATACACTACAGTCGGAGGCTTCCTAAAGCACAGATCTGACCATGCCATCCCCCTTTCCCCCATTCAATAACATCCAGTGGCTCCCTATCATCTCCAGGGTCAAATATAAAATCCTTTGTTTGTCATTCAGAGACCT